AGCAGGTGAAACAGATAAATGTAACCACAATAAAGGTCCGTCCTGCCACAAAACCGCTGTAGGAGAATGTTTGGTTAGAAAAATAAAAGCTTCTAAGGGTTTTTGATAGTCAAAATAAAATATCTGCTGATTAGAAATAGCTATTTCCACCTTTTCAAGAGCCAATAGTCCTTCGTATGTGAGGGTCCTGAGGGAAGAAGGATCAGGATCCTCTTGCAAGATGTCAAATAATGGTTTTAATTCTCCAGTAGTTAACTTTAAATAAGGCTTTATCCAATTAATATCTCCCAACAATTTTTGAAAATCAAAGTTTTCAAATTATCTTTTCGAATCTGTAACTTTTGGGTAAATATTTTGAGGATAAAGCTGATATCCCAAATATGAAAAGGGAGATTCCCGTTGAATTTTTTCAGGAGCAATAACCAATCCATAATCATTTGAGACCTTTTGCAAATAAACAAATACAGTAAGCAATAATGATTCTTCTTCATTTGCTAAGAGAATATCATCCATATAATGTATCATATAAATAGAAGGATAACTTTGTCTAACACAGGAAAGAACCTGTGCTACAAAACTTTTGACACAAGGTAGGGCTATTTGCCATGCCTTGAGGCAAAACTCTCCATTGGTACCTTTTCATAGGTCCTTGGAAATTGATAGAAGGAACACTAAAAGCAAATCGGTTTACAATCTATAGGGGCTAGAGTAGAGGTATAGTATAAAAACAATCCTTTAAATCAATAATTATTTTAAAAGTATTTCTCGGTATTGAGGGGGCAAGGGCGAGACCAGGTTGTAATGTTCCCATGATTTCCACAGTTTTATTAATCTTTCTTAAATCTTGTAATAATCTCCATTTACCAGATTTTTTCTTTATAACAAAAATTGGGGAATTCCAAGGAGAGATGGTTCAATGTGGCCTTTATCTAATTGTTCCTGCACTAACTGTCGGACGACTGTTAATTTTTCATTAGTTAAGGGCCATTGATCAACCCAAACAGGTTTTTCATCTTTCCAGACTATTGGATCTGCATGGGGTGCAGGCATGTCAATGACCCCTAGGGAAAATATCCCAGGCCTTGTCTAGGAGGATGGGCTGTCGGAGTCACAGGAAATTGAGTTCCTTGACCTTCCTTTCCTAAACCAACATTAGGCAAGAATCCTTGATCAAACATTTGATTAGAGACCTTTTGATTAGGGCTATATAAATAAACTCTCATCTCTTGCATGACATCTCTTCCCCATAGATTAACCGGGAGGCCAGGAACAACATAAGGCTGAAAAGTCCCACAATGTCCTTCAGAATCACTCCAATTTAACATATCAGTACTTTGTTTAGGATTTTTTACTTTGACCAATGCCTTGTAATTGAGAGACAGTCTCCTGCAAAGGCCATGTGGAAGGCCAGTGATCAGCAGTTATAACAGAGACATCAGCACCAGTATCTAATAACCCAATAAAAGATTTTCCTTGAATTAACAATTTTATCTCTGGCCTATTAGCTCCAATAGATTGCACCCAATAGACATCTGAGGACCCAAAGCCTTTATTCCCACTAATGGCTTTTTTATATTTTCCTGAGGTAACTATCCTGGGTAAAAGAATCAATTGAGCTATACGCTGTCCAGACTGAATAACAGAAATCTGAAAAGGATAACAAACCATAATTTTAATTTCTCCAGTATAGTCCTCATCAATAATTCCTGGGGAAATCATAAGACCTTTCATAGTAGAGGAACTCCTACCCAACAAGAGACCCAAAGTATCTTTAGGTAGTGGCCCAAAAACTCCAGTGGGTAGGGCTTGCATTCCTATCTCAGGGGTTAATACTGCATAGGAGGAGGAACTGAGGTCCAATCCTGCGCTGCCTGAGGTGGCTCGGGATAAGTCCTGAATGGATTTTTTTACTGATTTTGAGGGATGATCTGAGGTTTCGGATTCTGAAATGCCCCAAAAGTTTGATACAGGGCCTGAGGCTGGCCCCTCCACCTTTTTCCCTACTGGATAGGATTACCCATAATATCTTTTTTAGATCTGCATTCATTGACCCAATGATTTCCTCTTTTACATTTAGGACATAAACTAGGTCCTTTAGGAGGCTTTGAAAAAGGTCCATTTTTTTTACATTGTGGGCAGTCTCGTATTAAATGTCCTGCCTGACCACAGCCAAAGCAATTTCCTTGTAAACCCTGTTGAACTGGAGACTTGAGGAGTCGGGAGTTTACCCTCACAGGCTTCCAGCCTTCACAAGGTCCTGAAGCTGAAGCAATCAAAGAAGGTTCCTTTTCTAATCTATTGTCACAAGGGGAAGGATTAAGATCTGCCACTGGGCTAGGCATGTTTTTAGGAGGTTTATGACTAGTCCATTGAGCTCCCAGTTGTTGAGACAGATTTTCTATCAATTTTTCTATTTTTTCCATCCTGTCTTCTAACTGAATTTTTTGTGAATCCTTAGTATGGGCTGCTGCCATTGAAGGCTGCCATACATTTTCATGATATTTAGCAGCTTCGTCCTCAGGGCCTAGGGGTTCCGGCGGAACCATCGGAACAATAGTTTCACTTTCAGTTATATAATCATCATAAGGTTCAGGTTCCTCTACACTCAATAAATTTTTTAAAATATATACAAAAAGCATGTGACTAATGCTGGCTCCCATTTTTAATATTTGCAAGAAAATTCACCGCTCCTTACCTTTTTGTTGAGGCCTCCTTCTTCTCTGCGGTGTCCTTCACAGGATTCCTCAATACTCAGGCCCCACGTTGGGCACCACTTGTGGCAGTCCAGCCGTCACAACACGAACATACCTGAGTTGGGGAGTGAGGATTGAGAAAGGACAGCACACTCAATAGTGTGGAGACAAGAGGTCCCGTTTATTTCACAGAAACAGCTCCTTTTAAAGGCAGGCCAACCAGAAGCACCAAGCAACTATTAGGGAGGAGATCAGATCTTTGGCTGAGTTCCTCCCATCACAAGGTCAAACTTAACAAAGTCCTTGAGCCGGGTGTGGTGGTGCATGCCCCATGATCCCATAAAACCAGCCTGGATTACACAGTGAGTTCAAGGTCAATCTCATCTGCATAGCTGAGACCCTTGTCTCAGAAATGCCAAATAAACAAACAGAGTCATAGATTAAGAAATTACTTTTCCAATGTCAAATGCCAGCAGGCTCCCACATGTTGGCCCTAGGGTAGACACCAAGACCAATGAGACAGAATAATCTAGAAATAGACTGAATGAATAGATGGTTGATTTTCACCAAAGATGCCAATGCTGGGAAAGTGTCCTGAAATTGGTCCTACAGGAACTGGATATGCAGGTGAGGAAGAGGTTGATCCTTATCTAACACTATACACAAAAATTAACATAAAAATCTATTGGAACCTGGTGTGGTGGTACATGCCTGTAATCCTAGCACTCGGGAGGCTGAGTCAGGAAAATCACCACGAGGTTGAGGCCAGCCGGGGCTACATATCGAGACCCTGTCTCAACAAAAAAGGTACTATAGAATAATAAAATCTAAAGCTACAAAACTTCTAGAAAAACATAGGAAAAATGCTTCAGGCAGGGCCTTGAGTTAAGCAATGATACCTTAAGATATGAAAAGCACGCAACATAAAAGAAGAACAAATGATCTGGGGATGTAGCCTAGTGATCAAAGGCTTGCCTGTTTCTACCTGGGTTCAGTCCCCAGCACTAAAAAATTAAAAAAAAAAAAAAAAGATTGGGCTTCCTCAAATTTGAAATTTCTGTTATTCAGGATACCATTTCATTTTGTTTTGAGACAGGGTCTCCCTATGTAGTTCATGCGGGTCTCGAACTCACTGTGTAACTCAGGCTGGCCTCCAATTGGAACTGATCCTCCTGCGTCAGCCTCCTGAGTGTTGGGAGTCAGGTGTGCACCAGCATGCTTGGCCTGGAAATACACACTGAAAACCACAGTGAGCTACACTAGCAAGTGAAATACAGGAGCCAGGACGACTGACGTCACGTAGCGTAACAATGCCTGGTATGGCGGAGACCAGAGCAAACAGTTCTCAGCCCTCAACAGGGAGAAATGCACCAGGTAGCTCTAAACCAAGGATACGGCCCCCTCCCTCCCTGCCTAGGGGCGGGCCTCAGTCAGTCGCCACCCTCAGGGGCCCGCGCTGAGAACTCCGGGCCGCAGCAACTTCACCTGGGTCTCGTCAGAAATGCAAATTCTCCCGGGCCCTCCTAGGCCTGGTGAATGGGAGGGTAGGCCCAGCGATGGGGGTTTAACAGCCTGCAGGTGACTGGGACCCAGCAGGTGGGAAGGCCGAGGACTGAGACGCCCCTTCCCTTCCAGGCTTTTTAACAGCCTGGGGTGGGCAGCTGCCCTGCAGGGAGTGCGTGGGGCTGCAGGGCCCGGGAAGACCCATGGCCTGACCCGATCACCTTAAGGCTGAGCGAGGCCTGGGCACCGCTAGTTCCTGGCCCCAGCGGCACAGTGCGGCCTTGCCCTTCAGGAGCTTCCACTCTGCCAGCCAGGTTAGGCGTCGCGCAGCAGGGAACGGGTACTGCTGAGCCCCCAGTGGGCCCCTCACTCGCAGCTCCCTGGCCACCCCCCCAGGGTGCCCACGCCCACGCCGGGGGCGCCGCAGCTCCGACAGCATGGAGGGCAGGGCAGGAAGGACCGTGCCCTGGGGTGAGTGGGGCTCAGGCCCCGAGTCTGGGCTGCGGGCTGCTGGGAGCCTCCGGGGCCTCCGTGCCCACTTCGCCCCTCGCCCCTGTGCAGGCGCTGAGCTCAACCAGGAGAAGAGGACTTGCACCTTCCGGCCGCAGGTGGAGGAGAAGGAGAGCTGCAGACTGGTGCTCAGTGCGGTGGGTGCCCGCCTGCGGATGCCCTGGTCCCCGCGGGTGACAGTCGGCTCCCCGTGTGCCCTCACGGTGACAGGCGCCTCTGTCGACCCCTCTCAGATTTGCTTGGGGGAGAAAGCCAAGGAGGAGGTGAACCGCGTGGAGATCCTGCCCCCGACAGCCCAGGGGGACAAGAAGGCGCCGTCCATCACCATCGCCACGCTGAAGGCCTCTGTCCTGCCCATGGTGAGTCCCCGCAGGTGCCCGGGCTCCCCCTCGGGGTGGCCGGGACACTAACGCGGCGCCTTCGTGCCGCACGAGTCCGGCCGCGCTGGCGGGCAGCGGAGCGTGACTAAAAGCCCGCTTGGCACCCCAGCGCACCCCTTCCTGGGCACAGCCACGTGACCTGGGCAAGTCACAAGACCGTTCTTCAAAAATTAGTGGTGAGGGCTGGGGATTTAGCTCAGTGTTCTGCCGCCTGCTTCTCAAGCGCAAGGTCCCAGGTTCGATCCCTGATCAAAAAAAAAAAAAAAATCTGAGCCCTGCACTGCTGGGCATAGGGACGCTGGTGATCTACACACTGGTTACGTATTCAGATATTCCTTGTATCCAGTAATTCATCTTGAAATTCATCAGGCTGATGGAATCAGCCCAGGAAAATCCCATAATTCAGTTTGGTTTCTCCTGAATGCTATAGCTTTCTCTCCATTGTAAAGTCAAGAAATCACAGAGTCAGGGATGTAGATCAGTGGCACAGAGCCTGCCTGACAAGCACAAGGTCCTGAGTTCCATCCCTAGTACAGATACACAAAAAGTTGTTTTTCATTCTTTATCATGAGTGGTGGTTTAACTTTATCAAATGCTTTTCTACTTATGATCCTGGGTTCTTCTTTATTCCACTAATGTGGTAAAATATGTAGTATTTTACTCTCTTTTGTTCCTGGGGTGACCGACATTTGTTTGAGGCTTCTCTTTCCGTTCTCATCAGTGAGGGTGGCCTGTGTTATCTTACTTGGGTGGAAGCATGCAGGCCTCGCCTCATGAACCAAAGGGCGGAGATTCTCTCATTGTGTTTCTTGGAACAGTGACCACAGCCCAGGCCAGGCTGTCCTGGGAGCTGGGGAGCCCCCAGGACAGCCTCACAACTACTTTCTTCTCTGTCTGTCCATACTGCCTCCCTCCCTTGGAGGAGTCCCCTGTTCAGGAGGTTTTAAAACAAAGGCTCTGAAACTTGTTTCTGTCAACACAGCCTGTGTCTTGGGCCCCAGTCCTATATCCAACTCAATCAGTGTATTTCAGAGACATCTAATGGAAACCCTAGACATAACATGTCTAAATCCAAATTCTTGGTTTTTATCTACAACCTTTCCCAGTAAAGAGCCTTTTCTTCCAGTTAGGACAAAAATGTCTTTCCCATCCCATATCTGACCTCCCAGCAGTTCCAGTTGGCATGTCACTTCCTCCCAGGCTGTACCCCAGTCCCCAGGACCCTCGCCTCCTACCTCATAGCCCACCGCAGTCTCCCTGACCTCAGCCCTTGTTCCTGTCCCCTCCTTAATCCAGCTGAAACCACCTCGGTTTCCATGGCTCCACCTTGAAAACTCCACACAAACCTAGTCCTCTGGGTCTTTTTCCATCCCTGGTGCCAGGAACACTGTCCGCTGTGCTTCCCAGTGGCTTGGCTTGGCTCCCTGCTGGAACTCAGCAGTTCCCGTGACATGGAAGAGGTTTTCCCTGCCCATCCTCAGCCTGTAATTATTTTGCACCACACACACAGGATCCATCACCACCAGCGTCAGTTTCCCGTGGCGCCTTGTCTTTGTCCTGCATCCCAACGATGCCTCTCTAATCGTGCCTGTCCTGCGGTAGAGATTCTGTGTAATGAATGTGCAATTGAATGAATGAGCGATGGGAGATTAATATGTGCGGTTTAAATTTTATTTTATTTTTGGTACTGGGAATTGAACTGGGGTCCTTGCACTTGCCAGGCAGGCGGTGGCACCACTGAGCTAAATCCCCAGCCCTAATATGTGTGTTGTAAAACTGTTGTATTTTTTGCTGTTTTTGTTTTGTTTTTTTTGAGACAGGGTCTCGCTTTTTAGCCCTGGCTGGCCATGACCTCACAGTGATCCTCCTGTCACAGCCTCCAGAGTGCTGGGATCACAGGTGTGTGCCTAAATAGGTGTAGGATCACTATCGTTCTGCCTTTTCTAGAATTTCCCTTAAATGGAATCATATAGTGCATAGCCTGCTTTTTCATTTAGCATAGTTGAGACTTACCCACATGGGTAAAACTGTAAGGTGCTCCTTTTGCATTGAGCAGTTTCCCCACGATGGCCCCACATCCCTGGCAATGCACACCTGCTACTCCCCAGGGTTTGACTGTTGCACACGAGGCCACACTGAACTTTACGTGTGAGTCTTCATGCGGACACATTTCTCTTCTGTTGGGCATGTTGCTAGGCCTGGAATGGCTGGGCCGTATGAAAGCATGCACCCCTGCATACTGAGCGCCAGCTGGCTTCCAAACTGCTGCGCCCTTTCTTTCATACCCTACAGCTGTGTTCAAGAATCCTGTTGCTCCCTGACTTCAAACCGTACCTTACACCGTTCATTCCGCATTGGCCGTGTGTGTGTCTTTGGAGAATTGTTTGGTTAAAGCTTGTCTCGTTCTCTCATCGGGTTTAATTATTTTAATGTTCGTCTTTGCTATTGAGCTGTACGAGTTCTTTATGCGGCATACAAGTCCCTACTGATGTGATTTGCAACAATTCTCCAATTCTGGATCTCTTTTACTTTCCTGATAACACAAAAGTTTGGGGATTTCATTTGTTTTATTTGTTTGACTTGGTTTGATATTTTTCCATACTGAAGATAAAAGTCCAGGGCCTAGAACGTGGTAGGAAAGTGTTCTGCTGCTGAGCTGTATCCCCAGCCTTTTTTTTTTTTTTTTTTTTGGTACCAGGGATCTAACTCGGGCTCAGGTGCTGGAACCGCTGAGCTAAATTCCCAGCCCTGCCCTAGGCTTTTACTTTGAGACCATCTTGGTAAGTTGCCCAGGTTGGTCTTGGCCTTGGGGATCCTCCTCCGTCAGCCTCCTGAGTAACTGAAGATGGTAAGTGTCTGCCATCACACCAGGCTAAAGGTTTTCAAGTTTTATATAGTCCACTTAATATATTTTTCTTTTGTTTTTGTGCTTTTGGCATTGAATCTAACAAGCTATTGCCTAACCCAAAGTCACAAAGACAATCCTACATTTTGTTCTAGGAATTTTACAGTTTCTTTTTTTTTTTTTTTGTAGAATCAGGCATCGAACTGAGGCAGGTGCTGGTGCCACTGAGTTAAACCTCTAGCCCAGAGTTAATTTTTGTTTTTTTGTTGTTGTTTTTGTTTTTGTTTCTTTTTATTGAGTTTATTGGTACATTTTAGGTATACAGTACAGTTACATTCATCATTGGGATCTTGTACCTTTACATGAGAGGTCTTGGTTCTCATTTTTTCCCCTTGTCCCTGCCCTCTCTTCACCCCTTCCTCCCCTAGAGTTAATTTTTGTACATGCTCTGAGTTACAAAAATGGTATTTTGCTGAGTTTAGTGGCACACACCTGTAATCGCAACACTCAGTAGGCTGAGGCAGGCAAATCACTGCTACATAATGAGATATTATCCCAAAAAACAATGCAAAAAATTTTATTAACATTTCATTTCTTTTTTTTTTTTTTTTTTTTTTTTTTTTTTTTGGTACCGGGGATTGAACTCAGGTCCTTGCACTTGCAAGGCAGGCCACCGAACCGCTGAGCTATATCCCCAGCCCAACATTTCATTTTCCAATTGTCCATAGCTAGTAGAAAGCTATACAATTGTCTTTATATCATATGACCTGGCTAAATTTACATTTTTATTGATTCCTTCAACTTTTATATATATGTGCCATCTGTGAATAACAGCTATGAAAACTTTATCTGCATACCTCCATATGCCTTGCGTTCTGGTCTTCGCTGATTAGGACCTCAAGTATAATTCTGAGTAAAAGTGGGAAGAACAGGACCGTCCTTGATTTGCTCCAGATTAGAGGGAAAAACCATTCTTTCACCCCAGGAAGAATTTCGGTAAATGTCCTGTATCAAGTGAGGATATTCCTGCCTAATCCTACTTTACTGAGATATTTTATCAATAGTAGGTATTGAAGCCAGCTATGATGGCTCATGTCTGTAATTCCAGCTCTCTGGGAGGCTGAGGCAGGAGAATTGAAAATTTGAACTCAGCATGGATGACTTAATGGATATAGTCTCAAGAATAAAAAAAGAAAAGGGCTAGAGATATAGCTCAGGGCAAAGGTCCTGAGTTCAATCCCCAATTCCACCAATAGAAGAAGCCTGTGTGTGTGTGTGTGTGTGTGTGTGTGTGTGTGTGTGTGTGTGTCTGTTTTGAGACAGGGTCTCACTGTGTAGTTCAAGCTGTGTTTGAACTCACTATGTAGCCCAGGTTGGCCTCGAACTCATAGTGATCCTCCTGCCTCAGCCTCCCAAGTGCTGGGATTACAGGTGTGTGCCACCACACCTGACTCTTCTGTTTTAAAATATTTTTTCTTTGTAGAATACAACCTTTTCATGCTCTGATTTCCTTCTAAGCACCTTTCCAGATTCAACTCACAAATTTAAACAAGTAATGTTCTCATTTTCATTCAATTCAAATTATTTCCTAGTTTCTTGCATTGGGCTCCAAGAATATTTAGAAGTATACATATTTTTTAATTTCTTTTTTGTTGTTGTTGTTATTTGATTTTCTAGTTTGTTTTGTTTGTTTTTTGGTACCGGGGATCAAACTCGGGCTCTTGTGCTTTTGAAGCAGGCAGCAGAACCACTGAGCCGATCCCTGGCTTAATTTTCTTCTTGTTGTTGTTTTGGTACTGGGGATTGAACTCTTGCACTTGTGAGGCAGGCACTGGAACCACTGAGCTAAATCCCCAGCCCCATATTTTTAAATTTCTAAATAATTGTGTGTTTTCCAAGATTCTTTAATTGAATTCTAGTATAAGTCCATTCTGAAAATATAACTGATGTTTCAGTCTAAAATGTGTTGTGATTTGTTTTATGGGCCAGAATATATTTTAACTCAGTAATTTTTTTTTTATGTGTTCTTGTCTGGTATGGTGACTCACAACTATAATCCCAGCACTTGGGAGGCTGAGGCAGGAGGACCACAGGAACTTTGAATCCAGCCTGGGCAACTTAGTGACTTAGATCCTGTCTCAAAATAAAAAGTAAAAAAAAAAATCAAAAACTAAGGGCTGGGGATTTGTCTCAGTAGTTCCTCCACCTGCCTTACAAGTGCAAGGACCTGAGTTTGATCCCCAGTACCAAAAAATTTAAGGATATAGCTCAAATGCAAAGGCCCAGGATTTAATCCCCAGAACTACCCCCCAAAAAATGATGATTAACTTATAGCACTTGTTCTTCAAGTAATATTATACTGCTTAATGTATGATATAATAATACACAGTGTGCTAGGGATTTAGCTCAGTGGCATCATGCCTGCCTTGCAAGCACAAGGTCCTGAGTTCAATCCCCAGTACCAAAAAATTAAAAAGTCTACAACTATGTATACTATAAATCCTCTACTACACTATTAGCTTTGATATAAAGACTCTATGTGTTAGGGCTGGGGATCTGGCTCAGTGGTTCCACCACCTGCCTTGCAAATTCAAGGTCCTGAGTTCAATCCCCGGTACAAAAAAAAAAAAAAACAACTCTATATGTTAGTGGCACCTACATAAGTCACTGTAATCAAGCTACCACAGGGGCTCAGATAGGCCACTCTATCAATGAGCTACTTTTTATTTTTATATTGAGACAGGACCCCACCAAGTTCCCCAAACTGGCCTTGAATGTGCAACCCTCCTGTTCTCTGAGTAGCTGAGATTACAGATATGTGCCACTGTACCTAACTCTCATATCAGTTTTAACTGACTTTTTTTCTCTTCACTGTGTGTTTGGAGCCTATTGGATCATTTCTGTCTAGCAATTTTTAGTTGAATGCTAGCCATAAAATTTACCTTATAGGATGCAAGCTATTTTGATACTTTTCTAAATATTCTTGAGCCAGGTGCAGTGGTACACTCCTGTAATCCTAGTGCTTGGGAGACTGAGGCAGGGGGATCGCTGTGAGTTCGAAGCCAACCTGTGCTACATAGTGAGTTCAAAGCCTGCCTGAACTCTAGTGGGACCCTTTCTCAAAAAAAGAAAAAAATTACTCTTTGAAGGTTTTTTGTTTGTTTTTGGTATCAGGAATCGAACTCGGGTCCTTATGCTTGCAAGGCAGGCGGCAGAACCTCTGAGCTAAACCCCTGGCCCTGAAAAAAATTATTCTTGCTTTGTTGTGGGATACAGTCAGGTGACCTAAATACCACTCAGTGCTTTGGGGTCGTGTTTTATTAGGTGGATCCAAGGCTGTAGATCCCCCTACTTCCATGACTCTGGCAAGAGCTATCCCAGTCCTCCAGACTCCTGTGACTCATGGGATTTCCCCCAGTGATCATCAGATGCAGGACCTTCCTAGCCTTCTCTGCGCTCCAGCGCCTCCTGTGTGGTTTTGTCTGTAGTCTTAGCTCATTTCCTGGTCCCCATGCCGATCAGATGGTGCTGTCTGAAATCTCTGCGGTTCTACTTTCCTGTGCTTTTGACCCTGTGAACTCCAGCTTCTCCAGGCACCCAATTCCATGTCCTCAATGCAGGGATCCCTTCATGCACTGTAGCCTGGAAACCATCCGGAGTGTATGCCAGGGCTGTCCCAGGGCCAACTGGTTTCTTCCTCTTCACAGGGACCATGTTCTTCCTTCATTGATGCCCAGTATCCTGACAGCCAGGATTTCTTGGTGATCCCCAGGGTCTTTGCACTGAGCTACATCCTCAGCCATGTATTTATTTTGAGACAAGATTCTGTTAAGTTTCTGGGTTGGACTCGAATTTGAAATCCTCCTGCCTCAGCCTCCCAGAATGCTGGGATCACAGTGTGTGTCTTGAACGCATTGTGTAGCCCAGGCTGGCCTTGAACTCAGTGATCCTCCTGCCTCAGCCTCCCGAGTGCTGTAGTTATGAGCATGCATCACCTCCCCGGATTTGATTGTTACTCTTATCTGACTTCTGCGGTTGTGCGTGTGCTTTGTGATTTTACTTGGTGAGCAAATCCTCATGTCTCTGAGCTCCTGCAGTGTACATGTGGCCTGGACCTGAGGGTCCCAACAGAATGGCTTCACATTTGCGTCACTGTTTTCCTGGGTCAGCAGCCTGAGGTTTCAAACCAACTGCTAGCTTGGAAGCTCCCAGTGAAGTCAGAATGAAGTTCCTCCAAGTCTCCGTTTATTCCCTCACATGTGTGCTTGTCTCCCTTCAAGACGGCCACACCAGCCTGTTTGTGTCTGTTGCACATTGTCTTGGGGCTTTTCTTTATTCTAATCCTCCCCTCTTTGAGGACCCTCACCCACATTTGAAGGATTCTTGAATTTTATTTTTTGTGTTTTTGTTTGTTGATTTGTTCGAGGCAGGGGTCTACTGCATAGTCCAGGCTGGCCTTGAACTCGCAGAGGTCCTCCTGCCTTGGCTTCCTTTTTAAAAATTTTAAAAATATTAGTAAAGTTGGACATGGTGGCGCACGCCTGTAATCCCAGCATTCAGGAGGCTGAGGCAGGAGGATCGCTGAGTTTGAGACCAACCTGGGCTACATAGTGAGTTCCAGTTCAGTCTCAACTACATAGTGAG